AAATAAAACAGAGTTTTTGAATACTTTAGTTTCGACAAGGAAAACTGTGTGCACAGAAGTCAACAGTGGGGGGAAAAGTTGTGGAGAGAAACTCAAAGGATCCTACTGTGGAAACCAGAAGGTCACCACTGAAATCAACCCTAAAACATTCAGGAAAGAGTTGTGACAAATGGTGTGTGGTAATGGGGTCACACTTAAATTTTTTGAAGAAGAGGAATTTCAGAATACTGCTGGTGATCTAGCAAGGAAGTTGGAAATACGTACTCATCAAGAACATATACAAAACCACCTCATTAGCCCATTTTAAGAAAAGAACCAGGAGCTTAGGTCACTTCTTAGCAAGAAGTTTATTTTCGTCAAAATGGACTGTGGAACTAGGTTGATGATATCGTATCTCACGATCAACGTTCAGTACTGCGAGGAAAATCACCTCTGCGTGAAGACAGTTGCAGTAAAAGACGCCAAAGGCAAACATGAGATCGAGGATATGAAACGACTTGTCCAGGAAACTCTGACAGACTATGGTATACAAAAGCAAAACATTCTGATTTTCAGTGTGGATAATGGCTCTAATATGATAAAGACAATTAAGGTTTTGAACAATGATGAAGAGGAAGACATGGAAGAAAAGGACGATGACCAAAACTTGGAGGCTGAACAACTAGGAAATGCAGATTCTCTCTTGGAAGTACAAATTGATGCAGAGAACTAGACAGAACATCCTGGCATAAATGTTCCTCTCCACTGGATTGATGATTCTGTGTACTGTACATAGAATTATACTGCTCACACTCTCCAATAAGCTATTAGGTATGGATTAAAGTCCCAGTCACAAGCTCAACATGTTGTGTGGAAGCTCAGAGTACAAAATTTGCTTCCTCTGATGAAGAAAAGAACTGGTTTAATGCTTGTCATCGATAATAGGCGAGATGGAAGAGTCTAAATGCCATGCTTGATAGACATTTAGCTTTCTGTGAAGTGTGCAAGGAGAGGAGTGCTGCAAATCAGGATTTGTATCTCTCTAAAACAGTCTGGAGTATGGAACATTTCAGGATAACATGAAATATACCCAGGAACTCACTACAGGTTGACAATCCTTTATCCGAAATCCTTGGGGCCAGAGGCATTTCGGTTTTCGGAATTTTTCGGTTTTCAGAATGGTCAGTTTTTTTTTTTAGTGTGTATCAGCCCACCCGGGCATAGATCACTGACCCACATTGGGGCCTGGGGGGCGAAAATATAATAAAAATTATAATAATACCTGTAATAATAATAACTCATAGGTCTATGTCGTGTTTCTCACTTTTGATCTTTTTTCATTCTTGTATTTCTTTACTGTATTATTTTATTATTACAGTATTATTGTTATTATTATTATTAATTTTATTATTATTATTATTATTATTGTTATCATCATTATTATTATTATTATTATTATTGTCATCATTATTATTTTATTTTGGTGTATTTTTATTAAAATTTTTATTTACTATGAATAATTATTATTATAATAATTATTATTACTATTACATTTTTGCCCCCCAGGCCCCGATGTGGGTCAGTGATCTATGCCTGGGTGGGCTAATTCCTGGTTTAAAAAAAAAAAAAAAATTGCCCCCCCCCCAAAAAAAAAACAACTTTCGGTTTTCAGATAAAGGATTATCAACCTGTACTCGTTTGCAGGCAGAGAGTTCAACTTCAGGAGAATTTCTCAAACACTGGAAAAAATCTGCTTCAAATCCTATGGCATAGGAATGAAGCATTCTCTGGCAGCATTGCAAGCTCTAGGGAAAGGAGGGAGGTACAGTAGCTGTGATGAAAATCACTTTCTTTTTGGTGGTGGTTAATGTTGACCCTTGTTATCGAATCCTGGTTATTGAAAACCAGAAGATCTAGGGAAAGAGAGGATTGGAGTCCATGGCTCTTTGGCTTATGAAGCTTCACTTGCACAGGCATGAAACTGAACTTCATAAAATAAAAACAAAAGAAACATGAAATTGCAAGTGCATGCTATGAAAATGGAGAGACACTGTGTGACTTGAAGAAGATGAGTTTGAATTTTACCCGGATGAAGTAAATTCATCACACAAGTTAAGAAGGGCACATTGGCAAACTCAGAAGCTGAACTTCAGACAACCATAAATCAAGCATGCTTTACTAAGGAAAACTTCAGAGAGAGGCTGAAAGTTGACATCATTTTAATGAGATTCCACATTTTCCTGCCATTATTCAAGAAACTGCATACACCATGTCAGCATTACACTGTACTTAAGTACCTATCTGTTGAACAGCCTTTTTTCAGCTTTGAAGTTCATTCTCCGGGAAAGACGGTCAAACATGAAAAATGACTTGTTGGAAGGAATCCTATTCCTATGCTTAAATGGCTTTTGAATTTCATCCTTCACTGAAAAATTTATCTACAGTACAGTATTATACAGATTATGTGTATGGCACAGTATTACACATTAATATTTGAATGTAGTACTGTAACAGGTAGGTATTGAGTTTATGTATAAAAAAACAAAAACAAAAAACACATTCTTTTAAAAATAAAAGTTATCTTTAAGTTTGTCTGAAATGTACATTAGTAAGTTACATGAACTATGTTAAAAACAAAATGTACAATAATGTAGCATAGAGTGAAGAAAATAATTTAAAAACATCTATTTTCTAAGCAAATTTCTTTAAATTTATAAGCTGTGTCAATAAGTTGTATGGTACATGTTAAACCAATAAATTAAATAAGTACAGGTATACACAATGAAGGAACTCATCAATTCAACAAATGTACAGGTAACCCCCAATTTACAATCTGCCTTTCTATGATATTTCGCTTGAACGATGGTACAGTAATGTATTACGACCACCTCCACCTATTTACGATTAAAAAAATTAGCTGAATATAGAGCGCATCTCTCGCTGCACTGATCAGCTGCGGTTTACCCGTGCGCCACCACCCGGTGCACTACAATCCCGAGCATTGGTCCATGGTGATCACACATGTCCAATGTAGCTCAACGATTATCAGTCAGTAACGGTGTTGTTACTTATCAGTGTTTTTTTTTTGTTTTTTTTTATCTTACAGTGAGAGAACATCACTAACATTCACAATGTATCTGTTTTGGTGACTGTGAAGCAATTTTTGCTATGTTTTTCTAACTGTAAAGTGCTTTGCCTTTGTTGTTGTGATCATGATGTGAGCAGTGTTGGCCGAAATAACATTATTATCATCTGCTCTATTTTTTGTGACAAATGCTTACACTTTGTTTTTCTGACCAGATGATGGTTTGAGTTTGAAAGGAGCTATTTTTTGTACATAAAATGTGCACTTATTGTAATGTAATTTATGATATGCTATGCATTAATTTTATTGTTTATCATAGCAAATTTTGTTTGCTTTTGACGTATGCAATTTGAAACATGTTCAAATTTGGCTCACCTTTTGCTCACTAAATTTTTTAACTCTAAACCACATCATTTATAAAGAAGTTTGGTGCTAATAAATCAATTGTTTAACTTTGAAACCGTTTATATAAAATTCGTTCATTCATATCATTAGGGAATACAGAACTGTGCTTAGTGATTACCTCCTTGCCGTCTGAACCCATTGTTCACCCTCCATGCTTTGCTGTTATCGCTCATATAACGTTTGGATTTTGAGGACACAACCCCACTGTTAAACAAGGGATGCCTGTATACATGTATAATCTAACCTAACCAGAAAACCAGAAGTACCTAACCTAACCTCTTATCCAAGCCCGACTGGATCCCATGGTATGTAAGCCTAATCTAGCCCACCAAGACAAAACAAAAAACAAAGGACCCTAAAGTACTAAGCCTGAAATCGAAAAGTACAAAAAAAATAATAAATTACAAAAATATTATTTTCCAACAAAGCTGTAAGCACATGTGTATCATATAAATTTAACACTTCTTTTGATTGGCCTAGTAAGAAGTAAACAATGTATATCTCCCCAAATTTGTATCGTCCTAGGTTAAATAAAAAAAGTCTAAGTAAACTGAACACTGTAAAATTCCAATGGAAAGCTATAGATTAATTTTTTTTTTTGCTTTATCTCCTTAAAAATCCATTTAGAGTTCCATGCATGGTAACTATAGAATACTGTATATTAGTGGTCCGACTAATTACCCAAATGTAGCCGCAATAAAGTCAAATAATGGTCCTACATGAATAAATCGGGTTACCAATCACTTCTTGACTAGTATTTGGTGTCACAAAGTCATAAAATATTGGAAAACTTACTTTAATCTGAGTTAATACATCGCGTGCATGTACCGAGGGAGCGAGGAATTACCCAAATGTAGTCGCAATGAAGTCAAATGATGGTCGTGCAAGCGTAAATCGGGCTGTGAATCACTTCTCGATTATCATTTGGTGTCATAAAGTCACAAAAAATTGGTAAACTTAATTTAATCTGAGTTGTGTTGTGTCAGGTTAGGTTAGGTTAGGTTAGGTTAGGTTAGGTTAGGTTAGGTTAGGTTAGGTTAGGTTAGGTTAGGTACATGCACTTGATCTATTAACTCAGATTAAATTAAGTTTACCAATTTTTTGTGACTTCGTGACACCAAATACTAGTCGAGGTTAGGCTAGGTTAGGTTAGGTTAGGTTAGGTTAGGTTAGGTTAGGTTAGGTTAGGTTAGGTTAGGTTAGGCTAGGCTAGGTTAGGTACATGCACTTGATCTATTAACTCAGATTAAATTACGTTTTCCAATATTTTATGACTTTGTGACACCAAATACTAGTCAAGAAGTGATTGGTAACCCGATTTATTCATGTAGGACCATTATTTGACTTGCGGCTACATTTGGGTACATTTATTTCCTTTTATCTAAATTCAAAACGAAGTCCCGCAACAACAGTACACAGTAGTTTCCCAGGGTAGGTCACCAATCCCCGTTTATCTCACCTCAAAACACTGTGACAACCCTTCAACCAGGTGAACCAGCAGAAGCACCTTAACACTGTGGAAATGGTTTACCTTAATAGAAGTAGTACAGAGTGATGTGGGCCGGGGTAGAGGTGAACTTTATGTAACACAGCTCACCACTGCCCGCACCTAACTAGCAGTACAGCAGCTCACAGCTCACTGGCTACCCTTGACTATCTTTTGTCGCATTGCGCTCTACAAACTCCCTCGGGTTTCTCTATCAGTAGAAACTATAAACACGTTTAAAGTAAATAAAAATAAAGCCTTAAATGCTACAAAAAGATAGTACCGTCATAAACAAGGTTGCGATTAATATGCTAACTAACAACTCAAACGCCACCCACACACACGCAACAACTCTAGCTTCCTTGACCTTAAAATAGCTGACAAGTAGTTTAATGCAGTTTATATATCCTATCAGGTTTAAGAACTACATATGAAAATCTAGGAGTCAAACTTTTTTGTATTGAAAATGACACATCAAGTTTTGTTTGAAGAAATAGTTTTGAGATGTGTAAAAAAAACTGACTCAGTCCTGGAACTACTCGTTTTTAATCTTTACTATCAATTTACGAAAACTTAAATTTGAAATGGATATTATTTTTGATATAACAAATTATGCACAAACCTTCTTATGTAGTTACTCCATATGACACTGTCTGGCGACTACATATATAATAGTGCTTTGTCACGATGCTTTGCATAATTTCCTTCGAGGCCTTGTAATATGAACCACAATATCTATGACAATAGTTCCCAGTTTCATTTCTTCCTAATTCATTAAGCTCCTGAATGAGAAACGATCGACCCACTTCCTATAATTCATTAATTATAATTATCTTCAGAGCTTCAAAATGTTTCAAAGCTTAACTGGAACTGGTCTAGTATGGTATCCATATTTGTGTGACAATTATATATATATATATATATATATATATATATATATATATATATATATATATATATATATATATGCAAGTAAATCACTGTAGGTGCGCGTGATCTAGGTATATGCTGATAACCACAAGGAAGGAAGAAAACACGAAGTTCCCAAGCGCTTTCGTGTCATTCACATATATATATATATATATATATATATATATATATATATATATATATATATATATATATATATATATATATATATATATATATATATATATATATACAGTTGGTAAGAAAAAATATCTAAGTATTGTGAATTGTGAAAGTTCAGTCACTGGAGGCGGCGCAACAAGTGGAAGCACCAGTGAAAAAAAAGTCAACCCAGATTTAGTAATTATAAGTCGTACCTTCGAAAACAAAGATAAGAAAATGCTTCTTAAACTTTATTGGTCTTTCGAGTACGTCCTTGATTCCCCATCTGGATTACCGTATACAGACACGGAAACATTACCTCCAAAAATACTTAATATCCAAAGAAAAAGTGCAACAAAGATCGACTGAGATGATCCCTGAACAAGTACATACAGTATATCACTTCATTTATCTTTGCAGATGGCCTTGACTGAATCCAAACGGGATGGCCCTGATTGTACCCATAAGAAATGGTCCTGATTGTATCCGTAAGGGATATTGGCCCTGACTGTATCCATAAAGGATAACCCTGACTGAACCCATGAGGGATGGCCCTGACTGTATCCATATGGATAACCCTAACTGTACCCATGCGGGACGGCCCTGACTAGATTCATGGGAGATGGACCTGACCGGACTCGTGAGAGATGGCCCTGACTGGACCTATGAGAGATGTCCCTGACCAGATTCATGGGAGATGGACCTGACCGGACTCTTGAGAGATGGCCCCGACTGGACCTATGAGAGATGGCCCTGACTGTACCCATAAGGGATGGCACTGCCTAGACCATGAGATGACTCTGACTGGACCCATGAGGGTGTGGTCCTGAAAGTACCCATGGGGGATGGCCCTGACTATACCCATGAGGGACGGCCCTGACTGTACCATGAGGGATAGCCCTGACTGGACTCGTGAGGGATGACCCTAACTGTACCCATGAAAGATAGCCCTGACTGGACCTATGACTGGACCCATGAGAGATGGCCCTGACTGTACCCATGAGGGATGGCCCTAACTGGATCTATGAGGGGTGGCCCTGACTGTACCCATGAGAGATGGCCCTGACTGAACCCATGAGAGATGGCCCTGACTGGACTCATGAGAGATGGCTCTGACTGGACCCATGAGGGGCGGCCCTGAAGACTGGACCTTCAGGGAGACGAGTTAGGTGTAACTGATGAGCTATCCGATATTGAATGCTTAATAATAATAATAATAATAATAATAATAATAATAATAATAATAATAATAATAATAATAATAATAATAATAATAAACTGTGCCGTGTCAATGTTAGAAACAGCAAATAAAAACTTAAAGATTATAGGTATGCAATGTGCAGTACTCTATAGACAGTGAAGGTATGCAATTTACAGTACAGCACACACACTGAAGGTATATATTGGTAAATAGGTCTATTCGACAGAATATCCTAAGAAACATTGGGGAAGAAATTTGCCCCGATAAAATATGACGACCCGGTGGTAAAATTATCTGTCTGTTCCCCTGTCGCAAGAATCAAAGGTAAAGTCATTGCATCACAATCAACCGTGATATCGTCATGTAAACGACTGAGTCACTGGGCAGGGAAGGTCACTTCACTCCACACGACACTGCCACTTTTCTTCCTAGTACAAACAAATACCTTTCCCGGATTACCGAAGATTAGACTCCATCTTATTTCACCTCAAGATTAACCACCCTCACGATAACGTAGCCTAACATAAACCAACTCAACTCCCAGGTAGTTAGGGTGTTTAATCATCAGGTGAGATAAACTAGGTGTTAATCTTCAGGTAATCTAGTCTATCTCTGAAACACCCTCGTAGCCACCGTTCTAACTTACAGAAATTAAACCACAGTCTCGTTAAGCTTCCTCAGGTCTGAGGTGAAATATTAATGTAGCCTAGTAAAATCAAACCCAAGTAAGCCATAATTTAAGATTGGTATTGAATTTGAGATAAGTATATTATTATCAACCAAACCATTTTTTCAATTAATACATAATTTTGGTGTGTCTGGGTATAGATCATCCCATGATAAAGAATGAAGATAGTAGACTACCCGACCGAGGTTAACAAGTATGTCGTCAGTCGGCATCTGATTTGTGTGTGTGTGTATATGTGTGTGTGTGTGTGTGTGTGTGTGTGGCACACAAGGTGATGTAATGGGTCTATTGGGGCAGCATTATGTTAGTGTTGAAGTGCAAGCACTGTTTACTCCCTCTCGCTTTCAGCTACCGCCGCTGGCTAGCCCTTGTGGTGAACAGGGAAGCAACTTGCACAAGTCTTCACCTGCCGGCACACAGCCTCTTCACCATCAAGACTCCTGCTGTGCCTTCTCATGGCAACACACGGTAACTAGGGTGCCTCGTGGGCCCAGGCTAGACCAGCAGGAGATCTCAGAGCAGCAGTGGGCCCCAGAGGGACGGTGCACAGGCCCACTGGCATGTGGACACGCTCTGGCACCTAACAACCATTGCCCGCCCAAACTGCCTTGTGGATTAAACTTGGTAGGTAGGTATAAGGCTACGGGAGTAAACCCCAAGCGAAAAATCTGCGGTGGAGCCCCGCACCAGGCAGACATGCCTACAGAGTTCCAACAAAACCCCAACGGCGGTATAGGCAGAAGAGGTGACCAACATGGAAACCCAACGACTACACCGGCGGATGAAGGCAATGCATGATGGACAGGCTACTAAGGCAAAACCCAACAAACTGGGCTATCGGCAATCCATTGCTACTCTCCCTCTCCCCAGTCATTGCAACACTTGCACTATTGGACCAGGAAAAGGGAGAGCCAAGATGTGTGGTTGCAGCCTGCACTCCTGCCTCACCACATAAATCAAATCATGCATAGCCATTATCCAGCTCATCATACTTCTCATCATTATCAAAACCCCTATACCCCCAAAAGTCCTATGGCGACGGACGAGTGGCGACGAGGAAAGGCAGAGATGATTGCTGGGAATCTCTAGTCACAACTCTGCACATGGGCGGCATAGATAAGATGGTCGTTTATGCACTGGGATCTAGGTAGCAGTGCAATCCGGTCCTGTCTATGTGACTGAGCAGCCCTCTCGATGACCCAGTCTGTTCACCCCACATGGAGAAAGGGCTAGAAAATGTGCCCTAAACATAGGCTGCCGAAGGAACCAACTTGACTCTTCAACCGCACCCAGTAAGGTCATCCTAATGTGGTAGAAAACATAATCATAATCACAGATCCTCCCCCCCCCAAAAAAAAACAAAAAAACTATACAACCTCTTATGGTCGCTGCATGGAATGTCAGGACCCTTCTGGATACTGACACAAATGAGCATCCTGAAAGAAGAACTTCCCTTGTGGTCAAAGAGCTGGGTAGGTATAACATCGATATAGCAGCCATTAGTGAGTCCTGACTCCCAGACGAGGGTCGACTCACAGAATGGGGTCTGGCTATACCTTCTTCTGGAAGGATAAGCCTGATGCGGAGAGAAACCGCATTTATGGAGTTGGCCTTGCCATCCGCCAATGCATCCTACATAGGCTAACTGAAATGGCTGTTGGGATCAATGAGTGCCTCATAACTTCTTCATCAGTGCATACGCCCCAACATTGGATGCAGAGGATGACATCAAGGAGGCCTTTTATGCTGACCTTGACAGAGTGCTAACTTTTATCCCCAAAGAAGATAAGGTTGTGCTCCTAGGCGACTTCAATGCAAGAGTTGGCAGAGATGCTGACAATATGCAGGGAATCATAGGGAGAAATGGACTATCCAAGTGTAATCCCAGTGGCCTACTCCTCCTCAACAAGTGTGTAACACAGAACCTCACTATCACCAACACCTTGTTTAGGCAAGCCGATAAGTTAAGGGTTTGTGGCAAGACCCACAATCCAAACACTGGCTTCATTATTGTCAGAGAACGAGATCGCCGAGATGTCCTCATCACCTGAGCCACGCGTGGCTCAGACCACTTCGACACTGATCATTGGCTCGTCACAGCCAAGCTCTCACTTCACATTGCCCCAAAACGGCAGAAGCAAAAAGCCTCCAGAAGAGATTTTAACACCAAGTATCTGTAGGATCCAGTGGTAGCACATACTTTTAGAGAGCAGGTCGAACATGGGCTGATAAACAACCCAACAACAAACAACCCAAATCCCAGTGCCGAAAGGGCTATTCTCGACAGTTTCATGACAAAAACCTGCAGAGAGACCCTCGGCCAGATCGAAAGAATA